TTTTTTATTTCTTTTCTTGATTATTTTAATAAAATCAAATGAAAGAAAATAAAAAAGAATTCCAAAATTAAGTAAAATAATTTGAAAATACATATAAACAGAAAACTAAATGATAACTATTTTATATATAGATACTCGCATGAATATATATTATATAGAAAAAATTTTAATGATATATTTAATTTAGAATGAAAATTGATTAAAATTAGAAAAAATGCTTTATATAAAAATTATATAATTTTTCTATAAAAAGCAATAAAAATTAATAATTAATCTAGAAAATAAAATCTATTTATTTTTGCAATTAAATCTTTTTTTATTTAAAAAAAATATATAAATAAAAAATTCAAATAATAAATATCTTTTTATTTTATAGAAAAATATTATTAATTATTTTTATTATATCTAGGTATCAATTAAATAATATAAAAAGAGAATTAAAAGCTGAAAATAATTCAACTGTTTTGATTTTAAATAAAATATTATATACATGCAGTAGTTTTAGACATTTATTTCGAAAATAATTTTGATTAAGGAATTTTCAATTTAAACTGAGAGGATAATTCTTTTTTTAATTAATTATAGAGATAAATAAAAATTATTATAGTATTATTAATTATAATAATTAAATTTTGGGTTATTAATTTAACAAATTATTTTTGAATTTATATAAAGATTTGATTAATATTAATAAGTAAAATTTTTATTTTAAAAAATAAAAATAAATTTATATAATATATAATAATAAAATAATTTTGAAAATTATATAGCATCAATAAATTTGAATTTTAATTTGATATAATTAAAAAAAATGATTAAGAAATTTTTAAAGTTTTATTAAATAAATTTTTTATTATTTTATCCAAAAATATTATTATTAATATACTTTTTGATAACATAAAAAATGAATAATAAATCAGAATTTAAAATATCTATAATTATATTGTATAAATTTTTATTTTAACATATAGAAACAATTATTTTAGCGAACATAATTAAAAATTAAATTTGATATTTACTAAAAAATTAAATATCAAAATAATAGCTAAGATGAATATGGTTATTACATTCGTTCATGACATAATAATTTTTAGACTTCCAAAAATAATCAAAATAGATCCATAAATACTCGTCATTTAAATTTACTATCCTAATATAAAAACATCAATAATATAAGAAAAAAGTACACCTAGATACACAATAGGAGATATTATTGAAGCTTTTTCCATCTAATAAGATTTGGTATTCAATATTTATGCAGAAAGTCCAAACGAGGAAAGCAAAATCATATTAAAGAAAACATTAAAAGTCATATTAAAATTAGGAATTTAAAAGATAATCAAATATAAAGAAAATGCAATTATACAAACCAAATAACAATATTACATTTAGATATAAGCATTTACTGATTGTTTAGCTGAGAGTTTTTTTATTATAATAGATGAGATTGAAACACAAAAGCTACCTCCCAAACCGCAGAGAGTTCCTTTTATTTATTATAATAATTCTACATTATATTTTTATTAAAATAAAAAATCAGGTCTTCCAACTAATATTATTCCTAAAAAACTTAACAAACAATAAAAGACTATTTTTTTAGACATTTTTTCTTACAAAAAAATGAAAGCTAGAACTGTTGTCCATATAGGATTTGTATTTATAATTAAAGTAGCATCTGACAATTATAAATATGTATATGAAGTAAAAATTAATCCCATTGCCATTGATATAGTAAACCCTCTAATTATTAATAATTTAAACGTTTCAAAATCTTTTATATATAATTCAGATTTATTCATTTTACATAGTTGATAATTTAAATTGTAACCTATTATCATTCTCCAAAATACTATTTGTATAGAAGATTAAAATTTTTTTTTATTTAAGCAACTAAATAATACATAGATATAAAGCAGATTTAAGCTAAAATAGCGTACATGATAGCCATATTTCGCTTTTATGCGTGCTCTTTTTATTCTATGAATTTCATTATATTTTATAATACTTTCATAATATATGATTATTTATTCATTTTATTTTTTATTATTTAAAATTTTTTATAATTATATTTTTTAATATATATTTATCGAATAAAATAGATTAAAATAGAATTTTCATATATTTAATATAAAAGTTCTTTTTTTATTTTAAATGAATTAAATGCTATTTTAATATACAAATTTTTAAATATTATTATATTTTAATTAAAGGGCTAAATGAAAACTATATAAAATATTATAATATATATATATATATATAATTTTTATTGTGAAATTTTAAAATACAGTAAAAAAAAAAGTAATAAATAGTATTGTTTTAAAATCAAAATTTTAAGTGCATTAATATAATAACCAGCATATAAATAATTTATAATAATATATTTATAATAATTAAATTTATTTTAATTTTATATATAAATATTAATATTATATATAAAAATTATTTTATACTAATTAAATTTTAGCCATATTTTTTTTTTATTAATAAAATTATTTTAATGTATTTTTAAATGTATTTTTTTAAGTTTTTCATATTAAGTTTATAAGTTAAATCTTTAAAAAAAAAAATTTTATATATTTTATTTAATCAATATTTTTCATTTTATAAGGAATTTATATAAATTTGTATTGGAAATAAAAAAGAAAATGATTATTTTTTTTAATTAATTATTTTTTTACAAAATAAAAATAATAAATATGTCTGTCTATAAATTGAATATAATAATAAAGAAAATTTATTATATTTTTTAAAAAATTATTAAAAAAAACAATATTTATTTTATAAATAATATAAAATTAGATTGTATTTTTAATATAAAGAATTCAAATTTTATCAAAAATATTAATTAATCAAAAATAATTTATATATATATTTTTTTTATTTTTTTATATTTTTTTTTTATTTTATTGTATTTTTTTTAAAAATGTAATAAATAAAACGATTTGAAAAAAATAAATAATTTCTTTTTATTTCGTTTAAAGTTTTCACAAAAATTCAATAAATTAAAAAAGCGATTTAAAAAATATAATTTATTTAATTTTTATATATATAAAAAAACAATTAAGATAGTATAAATTATAAACAAAATTATTATATATATATAAATACTAATAATAATTATTTAATTTGTTATTAATATATTTTTGCATATTAATCATTTGATAAAAAGGTTACTTAATAAGAAATTTAAAAATATTAAAATATATAAAAATAATTAAAACAAAAAAGAAAAAAAGAAAACAAAATAAAAAAAATAAAATAACATATTAACCTTAAAAAGAAAATTAAATTAAATATATTGGGTAAATTAAAATAAACGGATGTTGGCAAAATTTTCTTAATGTTCTATATATAAATTAGGAAGAAGTGGAAAATAAATTAAATTAAATCTTTTGATAATTTAGCACAAATTTAAATAAGGAAATTGATATAAGACAAAGAAAATAAAATATTTAATTATTTTACTTAAATTTTATATATTATATAAAAAAAAGTAATATTAAAAATATTATATCATTATTAAAATATTAAAGCAATTAAAAAAAAAGAAAAAAAAGAATACAAAAATAAGCTGAAAATACATTAAAATTTATAAGAACAATTAATTCATACATATAAAATTAAATAAAAAATAAAAAATCATTATATAATTTATAAATGCTAAAAAAGAATATGTACGTAAAAGTACAGAATATCATGTAAAAAAATTAAAAAAAATAAGTAAAAATATAATTTTTCATTATTTATATAGATGAAAGAAATATAAAAGAAATATATATATATAAAATAATATATAAAAAATAAATAATATATAAATATATTAATAAAAATATATAATAATATATATATATATATATATATATATTCTTATATATTTATATTTATTTATTTTTTTATATTTAATTTGAAAAGAATTTCATTTATATAAAGTTTATTAAATTTTTATATATTTATATTTTTTTTAAAAATAATTATTTTTATTTGTAAAATGTATAAATATTTTACTAACAATTTTGAAAACATATATATTAATATTTATTAATATTTAATTTAAAATATATTAAATTTAAATTAATTATTTATAAAAAAATGTCATTATAATAAAAATCTAAAAAAATTAATTTTCTTTAAAAAAACTTTGAATTAATTTCAGACTTAATGAAGCTACAAAAAACATCTTAAGAGAAATCATACTTTTTAATATCCATAGCATTTATAATTCTTTATATATCTCTTTATCGCACATATCGAGACTTAATATCCTTATAATACTAAGGAATACAAGGAAACTTAAATTAATTTTTAGACATAATAAAATACTTAGACATTATTTATCTTATATAATATTTCAGCGAAACCATATTTATAATTATATATTTTATATCAATAGGTTATTTTACTATAATATTTATGCTATTTTGGATTTCCTTTTTATATAAAATATATCATCCATATGAAAAAACAAGGAAATTTTTTTTGCTAAATGGTTTATGAATTTAACTTCAATTTATATATGGGTATTATTTTTTCCTTTATTGGCTATATTGCTTTCTCCTTTAACATCAATAGTAAAGTTTTCTTATTTTTATGGCATATCATCTATTTTTGGAATTGTACTTGCTTTTATTAATTTTTTTTATTTAAATATTTTTTTAAACAACCCTAATAACCAAATAAAAAAAGACAAACTTTCAGGAGATAATGCTATATCTCTATTTATTTTTAACTTTCTTAGAATTTCAATTTGTTTTTTTTTATGTCTAAGATTCAATTCTTATTATTATTTTTTATTTTTTATTTCTTTTTGCTTTTTATAAAGTGCTTACTTATTGAATGTTTTTTGTTTTGGTTTAGGATTATTTGCATTCAAAAATTAATAAAATAAAGAACTAATGTAATATTTTATTATTGGATTTTTTGCTATATCTTTTAGTTTTATTTTAGATGAAACTGTTAGGTATATAAAAAAAAATAAAAAAAAAATAAAAAAAAAAAAATAGAGTTTTAAATATAATATAAAAAAATTAAGAAAAAGCATTAATATTTACAATTCCTTGTATAATATTTTTCATTATAATATCAAAAAAACTTTAAAATTATATATAATTGAAATAATTAAACCTTAATTCAGTAGAAAAATGCAATTTAGATAAACTAAAAATAAAAATATATTACCTACAAAACCTTTTAGACATTTCATACTCTTATTCTCCTTATTTGTTTAGTGATAATTATTTTAAAGGTCTTTTACATTAGCATATTTAATAATGTACTTTTACAGATGAAAAAGTATGTTTTTGTAGACAAAAATTAATATTTGATTCAAAAAAATTAAAGTAAATATCAACAGATAAAGCATTTAACTCTACAAATAATTCAACGTTTGCAAAATTTTTAATAAAGTAATGGCTTGAAACTTACATTTAAAAAAATCCAAAAGAGTACTCTGTACTTATAGATTATGGGGAATTCCTATTTTTTAAATTTTAAAATTAAATTCTTTCGTTAAAATAAATTATACTTCTTAAAAATAAATATCTTTCTCTTTCTGATAGATATCGTCTTTTTAGATTGCAAAAAATAATCTTGAAACAAAATAAAAAATAAAACTATTTATCTTACAAAGGCAAACTAGAGATAGAATCAGTAATAACAGTTGAATAAAATATAGATTTAATAAAGGAAAAAATAAATCAAATAATTAATCATAACATTTCCTTTTGGTAATTATTAGAAAGATCTTCTATAAATTTGCAAGAAATAAATGAAAAAGCAAGCCTCGTATTAACTAAAAACTTCAAAACCATCTAAAAATTATGGAAAGATGTAAGCCCTTATTTAGAATTACGAAAGAAATGGAAATTTTATTATGCCTGGTATATCTTATATATCCTCAACAAGAAAATAAAAGTTTAACTCCTTGAAAAATTTCAAGGCCTTCAAACAAATGAATTTGATATTTTTAGTGAAGAAATAATTTAAGAAAACGACGAAGAAGATATTTTATCAGTCACAAAATTAAAAACTAATGAAAATTTAGAAAAAATAAACATTAAAAAATTAGGAGTAGCGTTCGATAATAAATCATGTATTTTTCGTTCCACATCTGATCCTTAAGCAATAATAAAATCGGTAAATAAACCTGTAATAACTACATTCGGATATGAAAAAGAGGAAATCGTAAACCAAATGTTTTTGTCAAATTTAATGCCTCGTTCATATGCAATATCTCATCCTTAATATTTACGAAAATATAACGAAACTGGAAAAAAAAAAGCTCTATATTCTTAAAAAAAAGTATTTTGTTTAACAAAATAAGGTTATTTGTTTGAAGGTTATAAATTTGTTAAGTAACTTATTTCCTATTAAGGAAATGCTGAATATTTAGCTTTAATCCGTCCTATATAATATAATGCTCATAAAAATGTTAATTTTATAATTTTTAATGAAGATTGGGAAATCGATGCTATGTCTAAAAAGCTTTTTGAAGTTTTTAATATTAATCCAGATAAATATATGAAATCTGTAAATGGTGTTAATTATAAAAAAATAAGCGAAGGTCTTTCTTTAAGTCTTTTTTTGATTATTCCTAGGTTACTTAAATTTTCGAAATTCCACAAGTTTGTTACGGAAGAAGACATGAATCTTTTTGGTTATTTTTCTTCAAAAAAAGACATTCTTTAGAATATATTTTAAAACAATACAGAAAATAATAAAAAACTCATAAATATGCCTAAAAAATAATTATCTATAGAAGTCACAGAATAATTAAATTATATAAACGAAAATCAGGCTATAAAAAAAATAAAGAAAATAGCTTAAAAACACTAAAAAAATTCTTCAAATTTAATGTCTTCCCCTATATCTTCTTCATAAAATATAAATTAAGATCAATCTTTAAAAACTGAACCACTTGAATTTATAACATAAATAGATTCTTAAAATAATAATTAACATTTAGACGAAAGTTATAAATTGGTAAATACAATGTCTAGTAATATAATTTCACCATTAAACAAAAAAAAAGGAAATTAATAAAAAAGCTATTTATATGAAAATTCTGTTTCTTCAATATGTGAAAACTCAGTTATGGAAATATAAGAATAATTATAATATTAAGTAGATAATTCTAATCATGATATTAAAAAAAAGTAAATAGTCATAAAATTTTAAGAAAAGAATAAAAGCCTAGCAGAATTACTAGAGGAAGATGAATAATCAAAGGAAAAATAATCTTAACGAGAAGAATATTAGGATGAAAATTATGAAGAAAATTATGAAGAAAATTAAGATGAAATAGAATATAATAGTAAAAATAAAGATGAAAGACTTGAGTAAGGAGAACAATTAAAATTTATAGCTAAAATTCCTGTACAAATTGACTAATTAATGAAAAACTATTATTATATGTGTATAAATAGGTTACATTAAAATGAAGAAAATTAAAAAAAAATAAAGGAAAAATAATAATTTGAAAAAATATATGAAAATAATATAATAATAATAATAATAATAATAATAATAATAATTAATAATAATAATAATAATTTTTATGATTAAAATATTTCTAAACGCGATAATATTCTTTATTAAGTTATTAAGGATGTTTATTCTTTATATGTACGAAGAAAAAATTTCAAACAAATCAAATTTATTTGTAGTGCAAAATTCAAAAAAGTTGGTAATGAACGTACTGGGATTCTCAAAATTGTAAGTCTGGAGGAAATCAATATTACAAAATCATATATAGAATAATAAAAAATATAAAAATAAATTTTAGAATGTAATAATAAATTAATTGATAATTCATAAATTAAAAATTCTTTTATTAATTCACAAAAAACTGGAAAATAAATTTAAAAAAATATATAATATGATTCAATTAATATTAGCTAGTTAGGATATTAATCTTAATATAATTTAACTTAATAGTAATAATTTGGTAATCTGAATCCCAATAATTTATAAAAAGATTTTAATAATAAATAAGGATAAGTTACTTATTCACTTAATTGGAGTGATAATATTTTTATTAAAGAAGATAATTTTAAACCTAAAAAAAATCCTTCATCTATTACGAGTATTAAAGTTTTTATTAGATTGTTCTCTTTTTGCTATTCTAATTATTAACTTAGTAACTTTTCTTGTTTTTTCAAATTAATAATTTTCATAAATTAATGAATAAGTAAATATTAATATTATTTTAAAATTTATTTATCATTAGTTAAATTATTAAAATTATATTATTATATATAAAGGCAAATAGAATTATGGATTTAAATTAGCTTTCAATAAAAGTACTTAATGGTTATAATAATGTTCTAGATTAAATATTATTAAATAAGAATATATTTTCGCAAGATATATTATAAAATACGGAATTTTAAACAAAAAATAATTATTAAAAATTTTAAAATGACTAATTTATTAATTTAAGTAAATATTTAGAGCAATTTAATCTAAATAATGATATAAAAAATATATTTTTCGATCCATCAATAACAAATTATTAATTAGTAGATAAAAATATACTAAAAAATTAAATAAAAGAAAAATAAAATAAGTATATTTTTTCATTAGATAACTTTGATATGCTTTAAAAATATATTTACAATATGCATTTCTATTTAAATTAAGCTTAAAAAGACGATTTAAAATATGTGGATTTACAAGATAATGAAGCTTAGTTTTTAAGGTTATTATTTAATATAAAATATATATAAAAATAAATAAAATAGAAATAACATATTTCCTCACATTCATAATAGTTTAGAAAATTCCCAATAACAGTTATCAAAATAAATATATGAGAAAACCTAAACAATTGAAGATTTTTTATATATGATATTAATTATAGAAAGTGTATTAATATTTAGTTCTTTTTTTATATTATTAAAGCTAATATTAGTAGTATGTAATAGTTTCCAAGTAATTATTTCTGCATTTCCTGATATAAATCATTATGATATAACAAAAATAAGAAAGTATAATTAACTACTAAGTGAGTAGTTTACATATTTAGTATAAAAAGACGATTAAATATCTAAACAATTAGATTTTCAGAAAGAGATATATATCTAATAGAATTATAAATAACAAATAAAAAGAACATCCAAATTAAATTTAGAAGAATCATTAGATACAAATGCAAGTAAAAAGATTAAAAAAATTTAAAATGGTATTTTTTTAAAATCAATTAAATTATAATCGTTAACTACTTATTCCTTTTTTATTTCAATTTTAATACTTTTGAGTTTTCTCTTTCTTTTTTTCATTAAATAAACAGTAGATAGTATGCAGTTAATTCTTTAAAATATGAAAACCTTCTCTCAGCCTTTAGCATATAATACAATAATGTTAATAGCAGCGAAAGAATAATTGTTAGATGCAAAATATTATAAAGAAAATTTGCAAGAAAAATTTGTAGATAAAATAAGTGAGTATTAAAAAATTAAATGGGATAATTATTTAACTGTTAGTTCTTTAGAAAATTTCGATTAAGCCTACCAACAAATTTATTTTGGTAATCCATGTCAAATTTACAAAGACAAACTTCTAATTTAAGAAAATGAAATAAGAGAATGTTATATTATTATATAAAATGCATTAAATTAGGGTCTTACAAATTTAAATTTTAGATTTAGTATCAAGTTAATTGAGAAACTTTCAGAAATTAGAAAATAAGATATATCACCTTTAGAAATTTATGATTTATCAAGAGGAAAATTCTATTAGGATATTTTTCAGTTCTATCTTATGGAATAATGGGATTCTGATATTAATATTTATATAAATTAATGTATTAATTTAAGTGCCGTTTTTATTGGTTGCATAATTTTTGCTTTCATTTTAATTTATTTAATTCTTAGTGAGTATTTTCTTATTGGAAAACTTAATAAAGAATTTAAATATTTTAGAAATGTTTACAAAATGTATATGCCTAACGCTATTATTTACAAAGAAAAAAGAGTAAAATTCTGGCTTATAAAACATGGTATATTAAATTAATAAATGAATTTATTATGTAACTGTTTGTTTATTTTTTGATATTTTGTAATTAATAAGCAAACACATTTTAAAAAAAATATATTAATATATAAATATATATTTACATATATATATATTATTTATTTATTATTTAAATTTTTATAAATTTAATTATCTATTCTTTCCTATTTTATTTATCCAAAATAAATTATTTTTAAATTTATTTATATAAAATAAATTAAAAAAGATTTACTTACCTTTCTTTTTAATTTATTTTTATATTTTTAAAAAATTAAATATAATTTTTTTTCTTTTCTAAAATGGAAGATGACTTTTTTGGGAACGATAACGATAACGATAACTCATAACGTATGTATATTTATTTATATAAAAATAAATGCAGTCAATATAAATAAATTTAAAAAATAAATTTATTAAGCATAATAAAATTAACTTTCTTAAGGAAATTAAGATGAATTAATGGATTAATAACCTTAATAATAATAATTCTAAGAAGGTAAATAATTATATAATATTTTTAAATTATACTTAAAATAAAAGCTGAATATGATGATAGTCAACAACAATAATAATAATAATATTATCCTGATTATCAACAAACTCCTTAATAAGTCATATAAATATTAGTTATATAATTTATATATTAAATTATTTTTAAAAAATAGTTAACTGAGTAAGATTTAAGAAGATAAAAACTTTAAGAATTAGAATCAGAAAGAACAAATTTATTAATACAAAAGCAAAACGAAGAGGTTTAAAAAAAATAACAAAAAATTTAAGCCTCAAAATAATATCTTGAAAATTGGAAAAAGTATAAAAAATATTAATAAATTTTATTTTCAATAGGAAATAATATATTTATATTTAATGTTTAAAAAAAAATAAGTGAAAGAGAAATTTAAATAAGTAAAAAAAAATAAGCGAACTAATAAGAAGAAGAAGTATTAACAGAATCAAGAAAAAATAAAGCATATGTAAAATATATAAAAACTTTATAAATATTTAGGAAAAAATTATTTATTTTATAGAAAAATTCTTGGGAAAAAGTAGTTGAAAACATTAGCTTAAAAGCTAGTGATTATCCTGGTTCAAAAGACGTTACAAGAATGAGAGAAGCAATTTTAAATAAGAAACTTGATCTTGCTAACAAAAATTGAATTTTTTTATAAAATTAATTATATATATAATATGATATCAATTAGAATTTTTTATTTTTCTATTATATTAAAAAGAAATTTATTTTTAACAATATTTAGTATTGAAATTAATATTATTATCTTTCATAAATATTTTATGTTTAATATACAATTTAATTTTAAATAATATCTTTATATAAGAATGAAGTATATTTAAATTAAATATATTAGTATTATTTATAAAAAAATATGTTTGTTTTTATTTTAAATAAAACTTAATAATATTAAAATTTAGTAGTACAGTGCATTATTTTTTACAATAATCATATTATATTTTTAATAATAATCAAACAAATATAAAGATTCATTTAGAATTTATATATTTAATATTAAAATATTAAATTGAATTTTTTTTTCTAAATCAATTAAAATATTTCTAATAATAAACACGAATATGAAATAAAAAAATTATATAATGTTGTAAAGTATGACTATTAATATATATATTTTTTTTTAATTTTAAAATATTTAATATATAAATTACTTTTGCATTACGATATTAATAATGCATTAATCAATTTACGTTTTCATAATTATAATAATTTTTTTCTAAATTCTTAGTCTATTTTTGATTTTTGTTCTTTGTAATGTTATAGATTTTCATCTTTTAAATCTTTTAACTCATTACACTTTTATTATAAATATTTATCAGATTTTATCTATTATTTTTTTAAATAAAAGCTTTTATTATAATTTTACAAGTTTTATATTAATCTCATCGATTTTTTCTTTCAAAATTGTATTAATTTGATTAGCTATTTTAATAAAATGTTATTAATAATTAATAAATATTTATTATACTATTATTAGCTAATTATTATATTTTTTAATTATAATTTTATATCTTTAAATCATTTTCTTTATTTTTGTAGCTTTATTAAATATTGTTTAATGAATCAATGATTTTGTCTTTTGCTATATTAAAATAACAATTTTAATTATTATTAAGTATATTAATATTAATACACATTGAGTTAGCGAACTAATAAACAATATTTTCTAAATATTAATCATTAACTTATGCAGCTTAATATAATTTTTAATTAAACTCCATTAAAAAAATATTTTTATTATGAAATAAATAAATTCAATAAATTTTATTATAATTATACTTTGCTATGATTTAAAATTTTATTTTTAAATTATATAAAAAAAATATATATTAATAGAAAACTAAATAAAGAAATGTTAAAAAAAAAAAGAGTCTATTTAAACTAATATTTTTTGATATATAAATAAATATTTAACATATAAGATTTTATATGTATATCTTAATATCAAACATTTTTATTTATTAAAATTATTTTTTTTTTTTTAATAAAATTTATATTATAAATAAAAATAATTATAATAATAAAGGGGCAAATTTAAAAATAGCGAATAAATGAAAAAGAAAAAGACCATTTTTGTTTTGTTTTAAGTATTTTATATTTTTTTTTTTCAAATTATGAATTTTTAAAATATTAATAAAAATTAAGGTAATTTATTTAAATAATTAATGTATAGTTTATGATTATGTATTTTAATTTAAAATACACTTTTACATGTTATAATTTATGCAAATCGTTAAAAATTTCGATCACAGTTATTACGTTAGAAAAAAATTAAGATATTATTAAGCTGGATTAAAACACGTGAAAACTTTCCTTTGTTTTAAAAATATATAAAAAACGATTTTATCATATTTTCTATTTTATTTTTTTAAAACATATATCATATAAAATCACATTATATATTATGATAATTAATAACAATTTTTCTTATATTATTTAATTATAGAATAAAAATTATTTACAATCAGCTATTTTACATATTTTAAATTTATTTAAAATTTAAAAATTAAAATTTTAATTTGTTTTTAAATTATTTATCATACTTTTAACTATCATCTTTTAAATTTTGCTTTTTAGGCTTTAACTTTTACTACATTTATTTAAAAAACTGTATTTGTATTTTTCTTTAAATTTGTACAAATAA